AATCATTAAGTTTCCGGGTAACGCAAAAGTGGTCTTAAATTATTCGATTGCATCGTTAATCAATCGAGTGATCAAAAGTAAAGAGTTTCTGATAACTGAGGATCCGCTGTGTGCAGTGGTTTCGAGGAATAATGAGACTGTTGATTAAAATGGAACGTACTGATAGTTCTCCATTGAAAAATGAGGAGTTTGAATAGTTCCAAATGGAGATCGCTCATATTTTCATACGTCAGTTATTTTGGCAATGTTTATTCGACTATTATTAAATATTCAGATTTTATTCATTGGTATTTTATTGCACAACTTTATTTCAACAAACAACTTCATCATGAAAGCTTACTCACGAACAAGTAATGAACATTACTTCAAATGAAACAATGAAAGAAAAAATTGAGCGATGAATCTATATAAAAGAAAGACTACATGGAATTAGTATTATTATAAATTAATCTCTTGAATACAGATTCCTTTTTGAGCCAGAGTTCCCTTTGAATAAAATCTCTTTCGCTGCGATGCTTAAAGAATAGAGGCACAAAACTTTTGTTCAAGAATAAACATTGCTTGGAGTCCCGATGCTTTGCCTCATACTTCAAGCATCTAAAACTCATTGAATTTCTTGTTCTCAATATCAAATTCCCAAAAAAACCACGTAAATTTTTCCTGATTTTTTCGATAATGAATTTTTCCTCTCGAATGATTGTTCAATAACACGAATGTACTGTTGGAAATTAGGTTTGAATGAATACTCGTGCGCTCGGCTTCCTTATCATGTGATACATTTCATAACTTGATGACACTTAAAATAAGTTATTATTTATGAACAAAGCGCTAAATCATAGATCAATAAGATTGAGCCGAATAGTGAGGCTCAATTATAAATATATGAAATATCGCAGTTCAGTTTCAATTTGTAGCAGTCAGAGAGACAAATACGTTTGGTCAGTTTTGCTGATTTATTAGTTCATATTATAAAATGAGAGGATGGGACAACTGCTCTGACTGCTCTGCAACCGATATCCTCTCTCGAAAATGAACGTTAATGCTCCAGATGAAGATTGATCTCGATCAGTTGCTGGCATCTTCTCATAACGAATATCATCAAATGATATATTTATACAGCATCCAGAATATAGAACTGCCATCCAAACGATTCAGATGATTCAAGGGATAGCAGCAGAGCTCTTCCTAATCATTGGCTGACTAGATAGGACATATTGCAATGTTCAGCTTTCGATACCTTCACATTCGATACCATCGAAATAAACTGCATTATTGTCGAAACCTAATACATCTGGTGTTCGATAGTCAATGAGTGAATCTCTGAAAAGAATTGATCATCGTAAACGAATGGAGATAAATAAAGTGAATACCGATGCAAGGGTTTCTCCAGAATATGCATATAAATGCACTTCATTTAAAAGCATATTCAAGCATGTCATAGTATTTTATTGGTATGCCAACTAAGTACGCAAAAATTTTGTGAGCTATTTTCATTTGAGAATATTAAATGAAATTACTTGTATAATTCGCAGTACTGCAACACACCACCAAACATTATTAAATTAGCTGATCGACACTTTTCATGATAGCATCCCGAGAAACATTCAACTGGGCTGCAACTTTGAAAGGTTAGCACCTCGAGCATTATCACAACAAGACAGTAAATTTTCAGTCTCCTCCGTCAGAAATGAGCATTTTTGTATGCCTCCTCAGCATCGGCTGCGAAACGTGACATTGAGTGAAATATTCAAAAAATTTAACGACTTTGAATGAAAGCCGTATTGGTGGGCACTACTATTCGATGGCCGCCTAAATCTGGTTTTCCGATGACCGACCAATCATCAATCGATCAACCTTTTTTGGTTTCAAACAGTACCTATCGATTTTCAGGATCATTAATCCAGGTCCAGCAACAATAATCAAGAGACTCTATCTCACTGATCATCCTCTTTCGTAATCGGACGATAAGTTCGGATGGAGGATTTGAAAATGAGTCGACGAAATCATTGGAGATACCTTGCAACGAGTGTCCTACTAAGGAGTTTAATTCCTTTGAATGAACGTTGATAGATGGCTGAATATGTACAAGGTCCGGCTGGAGCGTATGTTGAGGATGCTTCATGTGGAGTCGATTCAGTAGTTGAGACTGAATCAGACTCTGATCGTTGTGAACCCGTTGATTCGCTTGCATCCGAAGTTGAGCCGTTCTCAGCCTTTATATTAGCGCTATCTTGGGCAGTAACAGTTGTTGACGGAGTGAGCGGAGTAGATTCTTCGGTGGCCAACTCAGCACTGGATAGATCCAGAGCTGAAAGATGAAATCTTTCTTTATAATGTTTTTGATTCGTGCAAATTCAGACCTGTTTATTTTTTCGATTCTGATCTGATACTTGGAGACCGTAATAAAATTAAAGCGATGCACACTCAAAATGGATTTTGCTTGGAAAATATGTTGCAAATGAACATGAATTAAGTAAATGTGTCCCTTCATGACGCACGCATGTTTGATCACTACCAATCAATTTGATGCATTCCGAATTGACAATACGATCACAATTTGAGAATTTTACAATCAATGAGAAATGCTCAGAATGAAAAATGTTTTCTCAAACGTAACTAGTCAGAGGTTCTGTTGATTTTCAGTAATTATATGTCCTGGAATTACATAGATACATGCTCTCAATTGCTCCACATAATTGCTCAATTTCTCAATTTTCTTTTTATTATATACACGAATTCTAGGACAACAACTGAGCGATTGTTGAACACAAATGCAACTTCGCTCATTACTCAATTCAGTGAAACTCGCACAAAAATTGTATTCATTATCTCTAAACTTCCGCCACATTATAGGTGTTTTTGCATTCATTCCGAAAAATTCTTCACATCTTCTTTCGATTACCTCGTTTAGTTGTCTTCGATGAAGCAAAGTCGTCTGTTCCATCATCCGGCTCTTCACCTTCATATGAATCATCTTTACGCGTTCGCTCGGTTGTTGAAGCTGGTGATTTAGATAATATTTTATCAAGTGTTTAGACGAATACTTCTCTCCCCTACCCTCCCACTCAAAAAAAAACTGCGGCGTAATAAAAGTGCTTCTTTCAATATCCTTTCAAACAATATCAATGTCATTCAACACCTTGAAATGCGAATGTAAAGAATGGTTTCTTCAATAAATTTCAAAACAAAATTCTGAAATTATCGAAGAAAATAATCCATCAGATTGAGCCAACTTGAAATTGCTTCGGTATACGATGGAGTGGTGATCTCAGGAGTGCTTGATGGTTCAGAAACTGCATCAGTACTATCCGGTGTTGACAACGGATTGTCTGTTCTATCTGTCATTGACTGATTATTCTTTTCAGTTGTTTTATCGCTATCCGGGATGTTCACGTCTGGTACTGCAGGGAGAATGGCTGAGCATACATTCGCCTTATAAGTTGCTAGCATATTATCTATAATATTGATATGATTAATTTTCTTCGTATCGTTACATTCCGTTGTAACCGAATAATACACCTTGTTAAAATACTGATAAAGCGATGCATAAATAAGAATCAGGTCTGAAACATGACCATTAGAACACACATACCGTTCGCAGCACATTGATAGTCAAAATAGCTGTGTTTTGTTCCTGATGACGGCAAGTAGTTGAATCGATCCAGATTGGATATCCTTAACGATACAGGCGATCACTTGCAATGAACGGAACCCAATTTGTATTAAGATCAAGGAGTTATAACTGA